TAAGTAATTCTCAACTAACTTTTAAGTAACCCTCAAGTGATCCATAACTCATTATCTGCTTTGTTTCCGTCATCTCTTGGATTGCCCTCTCCTTTAAAGTCCTCGCTGTAATGGATTTTCGCTCGAGTCAAGTTTATTCTCGTCGAACTGGAGCACGGATCTCGTTGCGTGCGTTTTTCTCCTTTCGCATCGCTACTGGCTGGCAGGCACGTTTATGGATTATGCACGGCTCTTACAAAATTCCACGGAGAAGTCTCACAGTTCCTCTTCTTTGCTCTTTTCCCCTTTCTCGGCCTCGCCGTACCCACTGACGAAGAGCCGCGGCACTTTCCCCGCTGGACGTCGTACATACGTAAGTCTTTTAGAACGGGCGAATCGCTGATAGCCCGATTTCCTCGGTCTTCGGAGAAATGACACTTTCCCGAATTCAATTATTCAATTGGCAAGCGAAAGAACTGCGAGATTATCGCTCCTCGCCGTTTACGAACACCCTGCGATTTTTTAACGTTAGAACTGTGTACCCAACGATGTGGTAGTTGGAATAAAACAGAAAGTTCATATATGCGAAGAAATATAAGAAGTTATGACTGTAGGAAGAGCTTTGACTGCCAGATTTACTCTTGAAAATTTGTATTGTGATTATGTGTTGTTTCTGGACTATTGGGAACTTTATTGAATTATTAACTTTATTGAAATTTATGAATTTTATTCAAATTTATTTTCTTTGATATATAACGCACGATAGCATCAACGCGTTAAATTTAAGATTTTTCGAAAGCTTCATGAAGCAAAAGGAAGAGAAATGCGACGAGCTATAAAAAGTTATAACTATACCAAGTGCTTTGACACTTAAATTTAAATTTTTCAAAAAGTGGAGTTAATCGATTTGTGCAGTGAACGGGTCAATTATGAATGTTTCATACGCTTTAAGTAGTAAGTATGAAAAGTCGTGATTATCAGTGCATTTCCATTATCAATGGAATTTTTAATATTCCAAGTTTCTTCCAGTTTCTCATTCCCTGTCCCCGCATTA